TTGCATGCGTGCCGTAGCCTTTACCTGCGTTCTGTATAGGATACTGAGCTGTGGGCATGCAGACGTATGATGAAATGTCTATGTTTTGTTCAGGAGGCAGTTAGCGTGCAATCCAATACCGCAACTGCAAGGTTTTCTCAGACTTGTAATGCGTTCCGGATGACTGAATGCAGTTATTCATGTCTTGAAATCGTGATTGAGTGCAGTTTGTTTTCACTCGATTTATTCGTGTCACCATGATTCCATGCATTCAAAACGGCTATTTGAATCCTATTTTATGTCAATTGCATACACATGGAGCAAATAATTTATTGAAAATGAAAAAAGTGCGTAATACGTCTGAAACCAATCTATCTACGTCTGATATCTTGATTTATTTTACATTTTCTTTCTTAAAGCCCATATCAGGCGATCGGATCTGCACAGTGAGCGTGATTCTGCCCAGCCGCACTCCGACCGACCTGATCGTCAATACAAGCTCGACCTGCCCGATGACAGAGATTTTTTTCTGGTCGCCGTCACAGGCCCGATGACTCTTTTTTTTACGTCACACGAAGCCTATCACTAATTCATTATTCCCGGTCGGTCGGATCTGCACAGTGAGCGTGATTCTGCCCAGCCGCACTCCGACCGACCTGATCGTCAATACAAGCTCGACCTGCCCGATGACAGAGACTTTTTTCTGGTCGCCGTCACAGGCCCGATGACTCTTTTTTTTACGTCACACGAAGCCTATCACTAATTCATTATTCCTGGGCGGTCGGTCCTCCTCCTGCTTATAATTCTCTCGATCTGGAGTCACGCGAGAGGAATCAGTTTGGATCCTAACCCTCACAATTGTCATCAACTAACGATAAAAAAAATTCACGACGTAGTCACGGGTGTCGATTGAAACTCGTGACATGGAAAAGTCTTTCTTGTCGACATTTTGCATTCAGTGATAAATTTTTGTCCGTGGTTTCTTTGATCGCCCTGTGACTCCGCCAAGAAAAATCTCTTCGGAAATCATTAGAAAGGAAATCGAACAATAGCGTTGAACACACGGGAGCTTTGATCAGTTCAAATAATCCATCCGTAATGGCCTACGAATAATCGGCCCAGTCCATCCACGAATAATCATCATAGACTATCCTCACGAATACGATAGAGAAGGGACGATTGGAAGATGGCATCTGCAATAATAGATGGTCCCGTAAGCAATTATCTTATTTCAGCTTTGTCTTCTACCCGAAAGAAAGGGTCTTTAATTGTGCGAACTCGTGTCAGTTTGTCACAACAGGCTGCTCATCAAGCTCTCTTCGTGAATGCTTTCAATATTGCATCCGTGAATGCTTTCAATATTGCATGTTACTAATCAATTTCCCCCATAAAAAAGGATAAATTCGTCCAAAGTGTCGCAAGCTGTCTGCAACTTATTGTTCCAGTTAGCCATATGTGAATAGGCCGTTTTGCTTATATTGTAGTAAAAATTCAAATTTACAGTGTTTCAAATTTGTCTTCGTTCAATATCAATCATGGGTATATTTATTTTTAAGGAGATTTTAGTTTTAAATTTTGAGTGAATTTAAGAGGGATTTCTCAAAATTCATACTCGCTATTGTTTAAATAAAGGAAAATTCCACGAGATGAGCTACGTTAAAAAAATGGCTATAGCCATGGGAAACGAAAATTTTGCAGGTCATTTAACCCTTATATATGTGTTAAACGTTTCGTATATATCGGATGTTAATATATGTATAATTAAAATAATACTACTTTTTTAGTGGTAATTTTGACACACAAAGGCCAACTTTTTATTTAATATAATAATTTTTATTTTCATATCTTAGACGTAAATAATAGTAACATGGTGCGCGTGCAGAGCTTACATATCTCGTTATCATCAATAATGTGGGTAATTTGAAGCACTGCGTTCCGATCTGCTACCACCCACAATCTCTGTTTGAATTCCGATTCAGCTACTCTTGATGATTTATTCAGCATGGCATTGCGAAATATTTTTATTTGATTGGTTTCGAGATAATATCCCGAGTTTATGTTGGTTGCTGTTGTCATCTTCATGAATATTAACGATTCTCTGATCATTAAGAAGAATCGTATTGATGGTCGCTTCCCGGCATGAATGTGTTCTTCTATGAGGGAGAGGCATTTTCAGCCTCATTGATTTGTCTCAGGTTTAATTGCTTCATTTATCTGACAAATTGCGATCGAATTCCTAAGGAGCTTTGCAACGAGCCCTCGATTATCGTTTGCTTGATCGTTATCAGCTGCATACTGGCCAGAAATGTGAGCGATGCCGATGAATGATCTCTTCTCTGACGCGACTGCGTAACTCACTCGCTTCTACCAACACACTTGCAACGATTATCCAGCACTCTAAACTGTTGAAAAGTAATTATTATTAACGTGCTGGAATCTCTAATGTTTTGAAATAAATCAGCTATTTAAGAAATTGTAAAAACGGTAATTTATGTGTTGTCAAATAATTTGAATAATCTTCCTTTTCGTTCGATCCCTTCTTAATTTCCCATTCCGGTTTGCTTAAATATTTTCCAAGTAAAAAAACTAACTCAATTGAAACCTAAATATTGAGTTTTACTTGAAACGAACCGTGCATAAAAAACTAAAATTTTGCCTGAATTATATCGTGGCATAATATTATTGGAATAAATTTATATTTTCAGTGACAAAGGGTCACAACAAATTCTAATCTAATCGAAGTTGAATTTAGTAATATTCACACAAAAATTTTGCTCAGGAATTCGAAATTACTTCTGTTATGCGACCAACTGGCTTTGAAATATTCACGCAAACGTTCTACTCAGAGCAAGCTTTGGCTCATCGCGAACATCGTGTTCGTATTGTGAGCACATTATTTGTATAGATTGACTCAGAAAAGACTTGATATTCTCACTACTTGTTGGGCCAATGCCGGCATGGTGAAGACTGATGCATCTCTCGCTATTGACACAAGAGTCTAAACTGTTGTAACAAATGTCCCCTTAAAAACTTATTTACAAACTTGTTTGATGAAAACTAGACCTGAATTTTGGAAAAATTGTTAGTTTCGTTTACAATTCATTCATCATTAATGAATAATTTGTTAATCAGACCGTAGTAAATTTAATCTTTTGATTTCAGCCAGCAACAGACCTACTTTACATTGGTATTTGATGAGGTTGATGGTTGATAATTATAGACAATACAGATAATTCAGTGTTTGAGTTTTAAACTTTCTTTTTCCTTTAAAATTAAATTTTTAATTGAGTGCTTAAGATAAAAAAATATAACTCAGTTCTCACTGCAGTGAGTGACAGAGAGCGCATTTTCTCGTCGACGAAAACTTGAGGTCACTGACAGACGGACGGACAGACAGACAGACAGACGGACGGACGGACATGGCGAGTACAATAGTGCATTTTTTCCATAAATGAGAAAATGCGCTAAAAAACTATTTATGAAGTTTTTCAAGAAACTTCATAGATCTTGGGTGTGACAAAAAAATCAAAGATATAATCGACGATGCCGTGGCATTCTTAACACCGTCAGTAATTACGCTAGAAATATGTCATTTTCTCCACAAAATATGATGTAAAACATTAGGTGTAATTACTGGCTGCAGAAGCACTATTTATGAATCGAGGTCGGCCGTTGAAAAAATAATAATGAAAATCATGTTACCGTCGGGCGTGAGCACCAATGAAATGTTGCTCTTACATTGAACTATTTATGAGAATATTGAGGAAGTATTCATCATGAAATCTTCGTTTGAGCAAGTCATCATCTATAATATGGCCCGAAATACCTTTGAACTTATTAGTTGAACGACAGAATTTATTATTTAACCTCGCCTGAGCCTGTTAGCTAGCAGTTCATTTATTTACGGCAGTACCCGGCCAGCATGGCCCTGGGGCATCCAAAATATTTTCAATCAGGTATTGGGTTGATTTAAATTTCTTATATAGAATTCTGTTTGAAGTTTAAACGTGCGATAACCGTGTTTTCGAAAGTATTGAACCCCGTGTTCGCAAACGTTTGGAAACTGTGTTCTCTAACGTCTGGAAACCGTGTTCTCGAACGTCTAGAAACCGTGTTGACAAACGTTTGGAAACCGCGTTCTCGAACGTCTAGAAACCGTGTTCTCGAACGTCTAGAAACCGTGTTCTGGAACGTCTAGAAACCGGTTTGATAAGCGTTAGGAAACTGTGTTCTCGAATGCCTGGAAACCGTGTTCGCAAACAATGTTCAGCTGGAGAAATTGGGCCTTCGAATCCATTACATATAACTCATGTTGGCGGCATGAAGCAACGATCGCTCACTTGGAAGCTTGCCACGCTGCCCCATTGACTCCTTATAAAGGCAATGCCAACCTTGAAAAGTTTGCTCAAACAAAACTACGTTGGATGAATATTGCCCTGACGCCTACGTCGGGTCATTTGGCATCGAGTGCAACACTGCATTAATGAATGTGTTTGAACGCTCCTTATAGAACACTGCGGCTATTCATCTATATAAAATTCTATATATTTCATTCGTTGTGTTATATGAAAAACGCAAAAAATAGTATAATTTTATGGTTATCATTTTTTTTCTAATTTAGCGTCGTTTGCATGATGCAACAAGTTTTCTTTAAACATTATCAACTGAAGTGCGAATGGTCAATATAAATTTTCACATAGATTTCGATTTTAGACTTTCTACATAACCGTTAAGTCATTAAACTCGTGTTTCAAGATTCATCCTAATTAAGTCGTTGCAGAAAATTTGTCCTAAATCTTGAAGGAAATGTAATTATTTAGTTAATTACAAGTTATTTCAATGCAATGACTCGTCCACCTTTTTTATGAGTAAAACTATCATTATCCTATTGAAATAATTACTGATGAAAAATAACTCAGTTTTGAGGAGCCCAAATTGTGATATGTACAACGTACAAATTTTGTTCCCATGAAATTGAACGAGATAATCATTTAACTTTAAATTATTTTTTTAATTTTCAGAAATGGCCGAGATCTCCTAGGTCTCACTCCGAGGCCTTTCGACAGCCTGCTGGCCGAGAGGACCAAAGTAGAATTCGAAATGAAAATCCCACCTTCTGACTTCGGTGAGTAGTCAATTTCTTTAAACTAATTTAGTGAAGTCTCCTGTGATATCTCATCTGATGTTACAGAATCCAACAAATTCCAAAATCGAAAAAAAATGTAGTAGTGCAGCTAGTGCCTGTGTTGACATACAGTCTGTTACATTTATTGTTTCGACAGCATTCATTTTTTACGTAACTGGTAAAGTAAAATGAAACAAATACGGTGTCAGGACTGATGAAAAAAATCATGATATCGATTGATATTAGAGTTTAATTAATTCTTAATATATACATTTATTTTGGTACTAGAAGTTTGGTGCAGTTTAATTTGTGAAATTTTTAATGGGAATATTTCCCGGTTTATTGCAGGTCACCCACAGCTCGGATCACACCCCCTCCACCAGCCTCTCCGGCCCTCCATTCACCCCCACCACTTGGGGAACTCCCTTGCACCTCCATCCCTCATTTCCCCTCTCCAGCCTCTTGCTCCACATCCTCCCCCCTCCACTGCACATCTCCACCACCTCCTTGGAGAAGAGTGGAGGCGGTCCTTTGAACGTAACTCCATGGAGCGACATTCCATCAACTCCGGTCAGTCAAGGACTCGTGTTATATTGCATTAAGAAACTTTATTACAAAATTTTGAGAAACGCAATAATCGTAAAATAGTTTCAAAGGGCAATAATTGTAACAATTAATAAAGTTGAAATAAAAATTTGTTAAAATTAAAAAAAAATATAACCAGAGTAATAAAAAAAACATTATAACGATAAGTTTATAGAGCAATAATTGGGACAACAGTTTGAAAAAAGCAAAAATATTAATTATAGCTTAAAGAATCAATAAAAAATTAGGTTAAAACAACGGTTGATACCATAGCTTGAAATTATTGTATTTTTTATGGCGATTGCATAGACAATGTGCGTAAATTGGACAGAATGCCTTGTCTGTTGAGAAAAGTTTTCAACAAAGAATAAGATAAGAGCTGAGAACGTAATGTATTCAATTTCTCATATTTTCAAACGACAGCAGGTATTATAGAAAGTATAAATAACGAGGACTATTCTATTAATGATTTAATTTTCATATAAATGAAAGTTTTGATTAAAGATGAGAATTTTTAAAGAAACCCTAGCTGCTTCACATATCTGGGTTGAGGCCGTCATTCCAAGCCTTTAGTTAACAATCGTCTTCGTAATATCTTTAAGATTGACGTATTAAAATTGAACCAATATATATGGAATTTTGGTATATGTTTACTGTCTAATTTTAATAATTGTTCATTAATTAATTTTCCTTTATTTTTAGTGTTACAAAGTGTTTTATTGAGATGACACTGAATTAAAGTCCTTCTTATTTCTCACTTCTATGGTTGGAAAATAGGTAAATGGCCTAAAAGGTCTAACCAAGAGAGTAGGTCTAACCTAAATACATAACCTAAAATTTATTCTATTTCTTCCGAAATAATGTTATTACACAAAATGGTTTCTACTGGACGGTAGACTTCCCAGAGAAACCATACTGGACATTCTAAGTACATACACGAAAATTAATTCATTTTTTTCTAAAATAATGTTATTGCACAAATGGTTTCTACTGGACGATTGACTTCCCGAGAAACTCGACTGGATATTCAAAATACACACACTAGAATTTATTCATTTTCATATGAAATAATGTTATTGCACCGATTAGTTTCTGCTGGACGATTGACTTCCCCGAGAAACTCGACTGAATATTCTGAATACATACGCAATAATTAATTCATTTTCTTCTGAAACAATGTTATAATGTTATAGCACAAAATGGTTTCTACTAGACGGTAGACTTCCCAGAGTAACTCGACTGAATAATCTGAATACATGCGCAGAAATTAATTCATTTTCTACTGATGACGTAAAGGAAAGTGTGGTTGATTGCAGCAGGCCAGATGTCCCCCGACAGCGGGGGTGTCATGGGACTCCCCGCCTCTGGGGATCGCAATGACTCCAGAGAGTCCCCACTTGGAGACTCCCTCATGAAGAGTCCCTCATCTTCGCTCCCTAACGGATTCCCTTCAGAGAGCAAGAGTCCTTTCCAGTGCCACGATGACCGGTCCTTCAAGGATGAATTTCCTCCTCATTTAGGATTCAAATTCGAAGACAGAATCACCGGAGAATCTCTAATTCCGAAGGGCGATCCAATGGAGGCTCGATTACAGGAAATTCTAAGGTGAATAATGGAGCTTTCTAGTATTTATCGTAGTTATTATAACATTAATGTCATCTTTTAATGATTTATAGTGGTTATTATAACAGTGCATATTACCAGGCAATGCATCCACTTATGATGGATATTCCTTTCATAAATTAACAAGTCAATAAATTTTAAATTTGTGCCTATGCATGTTCCATGAGAACCATTAATGTAATTTATAGGTTAGCTTGACATTGTTTAATTTTCACCACCGTTGTATTTTCCTCGTAAATTCTGACGCATGCGCGTATTGTTAACGCGCAGATCCTACAGCGTCTGCGATGTTCGTTTTTCTAGGCTCTATATAATAGCCTTGGTATCGCATTAGCAATTGTCGATGGCGTTACCGTGGAAAAATCGATACCTCGCGTGAATATCGCATATTTTTTCGAGTCCAAGTAATAATTGTAAAATATCCATGTCCTCTGCAGTGATGTAAGTCTTGATGTAAGTCTTGATGTAAGTCTTGATGTATAGGAGGGTCGTGAGACCACACGTATTAATGGACATACCATTAGATGAGAGGATACCTAATCCTCCCTTCATTATTGGAGCACATCGGGATTATCATCCCATGCTCTCGTACTGAGGGCGGCTGCCGTGTTAATAATTATGATATGTCCCTATCAAGTGTATGCCTATGGCGTGGCATGTTAACTGTAATGGCAACATCATGTTCAAGATGCCTAATTATTTTGATCAATTCATTGTCGTTGCCGACCCAGAATATGGCTGACGAATGTCTTTAAATTATACCGTGAGCGAACGAGAAGTGCATTCGTATATTCATAGAAAATATGTTGAAGTAGGCTTAATTATTCAATCTTGAGAAGCCTGGTTTAAATAAATTATAACCTGATTCATTCCATAATACTTGTTTTCAATTCAATAAAAAGTAGAAGCCAGGAAAAATATTAGAACATTTGTGAAATTTGTTTTTTACTGAAATTCGAGTCTTAAGAAAATGTGGCTGACTAGAAAAATTAGAGATCTTTGAAATCTATACTGGCTTCTCGCAATTTTTGTTAATGAAGATATTTTCTATTTTTTGCCCAGGTTTAATATGGACAAATATTGCCATCAAAGTCTGGACACTCTGCAGCTGTCTCGTCGCATCCGTGAACTCTTATCCATACACAACATCGGTCAAAGGCTCTTCGCCAAATACGTCCTAGGGCTGTCTCAGGTAAGCATTGCATACGAGGCCATTTCCGATCCTAAGTTACGCATAAAATAGATTTAATTAATTTCGATGTTTTTCGGGCAATTAATAGTGATATTAATTTATTAATTATATTATTATTAATAATAATATAATTAATAATATATATAATTATATTTATTATTAATAGTAATATTAATTATTAATTACAATTAATAATTTTCAGCGCAAAATGCTATATATAGTTATTATATTACAAAGTGTTCAAGTGATACCAAAATTACTTTTTAGATTCCCGTGCGCAAGTGATGTGGTTCTTAAAAAATTTGGCTTTAATAATTTAATTAAGAATGAAGTGTTCTACGCCATTTCAGATCTGCTGTCATTTTAATACATCCGACCAGCAATATTTGCTGATGTGTTGTTGATTGAAAGTCATCCTTTAATCTATCATTTACTTTCACAAATTTGTAAAATTACAACAATTTTCGGAAAATGGTAATAATTATATATTGAATCAGAAATTACGCAGCTTTTAAACCTAAAAGCAATTTCAAACATATTTTCACCAAATTTCTAATTTTAGAAATAACCTTTTTATAGGGTACATTTCTCTACCTATATCTGCTGCTACTAAAAAATATGAAGTTAATTCATAAATGAATTTATGAATGGTTTAGTATTGTTCTCATAATAAATTAATTTTTTCGGGGGTTTCTCTGTTTCTCCCCACAGGGATCAATCTCAGGTTATTAGTTATTTTTTCAGTGGTTTCTCCTCCCAAAGTACAGTCTCAGAATATAAGTTATTTTTGTCAGGGGTTTCTCTATTTCTCACCACAGGGTACAGTCGCGGATTGTGAGTTATTTTTGTCAGGGATTTCTCTGTTTCTCAACACAGGGTACAGTCGCGGATTGTAAGTTATTTTTGTCAGGGGTTTCTCTGTTTCTCCCCACAGGGAACAGTCTCAGGTTATAAGTTATTTTTTCAGTGGTTTCTCCCCACAAAGTGCAGTCTCAGATTATAAGTTAATTTTTGTCAGGGGTTTCTCTGTTTCACAACACAGGGTACAGCCGCAGATTATAAGTTATTTTTGTCAGAGTTTCTCTCTTTCTCCCCACAGGGTACAGTCACAGATTGTAAGTTATTTTTGTCAGGGGTTTCTCTGTTTCTCCCTACAGGGTACAGTCTCAGAGCTGCTGTCAAAGCCTAAGCTCTGGGACAAACTAACAGAAAAAGGACGCGACTCTTACCGTAAGATGCACGCGTGGGCGACCGATGATAACGCTGTCTTCCTTCTCAAGTCCCTCATTCCCAAAAGAGGTAAGTCGCTGCTTCCTGAAACTAGGAATAAACGTTGGATTCAGGTCAGGGAAACTGAAAATACGAATTTTTTATGCGTGTATGAACTTTTTATAAAATAATAAAATCCACTGCGTTTTTATGGTTCGAATTCCCGTGGTGAACATTTCTGCCATCACCTTTCATGTACAGGTGAATAATTTGTGCCTCTACGCTTGACTGTGTAATTCTAGCATCAATAGTTCTATGAATTTTTAACTTTGTTCGATATCGGCACATATTACCTTCTAATTCCGAAATGCTATCGATTGTTTGGTTATTCAGCGACGGTGAACCACCTAGTGTATGTGCTCGCTATATTGGCTGCATGGGTGGGCCGTGGAACTATAGCCGTCCAGTCCAGAATAATCATAAAAACTGTGGCGTGTGATTAGAGCTCTGCCTTAAAAGTCAATCATCTTTAAAATAACAAGCGACTTCGCCACGGTATCTGACTGGGAGAATTGAAAATGAAACGACCAGTTATAGCCGATGTTTACAGGAGATTAGGTGCCGGACTGCTCCTATTTAGAGATGCGTTTCAAACAGACAAAGAGCTCCACTTGTGGATAATTAACGTATTTTTTTTAGATATCGTAACAATTCTGCGGAGGGACAATTTTTGGGATTGAATATATTTTATGTCTATAGCTATAATTGATGAAATCCGTGTCTGGCTAGGCAGATATAAGTGATATGCAATTTAGATGTAATAATAAGGGGAGTGCATGTCAATTGAAATGTCCATTTCATTTCCATCAGTAGACTGCACAAGTTGCATTCGGCATTGTTCGTTTTAGGCGAAAAATATATTATGCGTTTCCTAATTATAGATTATCCACTTAATAATTACTGCTAGCTCTCTTAAGAAATGACAGGTATTACTATACTTCTATTGGAACATCCATCCATACGTTGTTTTAATCACCATGCATAGACTGTAAGTTAATCGGGCCCCTATATTTGAAGGGCTAAAGCAATACGACGAATATTTTCACCGCACAACGTATATCCACTCACTCATAAAACCATTACGATGATTGTTTTCGGTTGTGCGTTCATGCCTCATCAATATGGTTCTCTTAATAACCAACTCTGCTTGGTCACGGAAACGTCATATTTCGAGGAGACGGCAAGTCACCAACCTCAATGTATGTGTTTATTCAATATTCGTGGGTTATCTTGATTACTTAATGTTATGGTGGATTGAAAGTGAGGATCGCCTCTCTTGAAATCATCTTGAATTACCAGCTGCGCACGACTGATCGAATCGATGCTGCATCGCCTCGGCTCTGAGATTATAAAACGTGCTTGCCGGATTTCATCCCAGAGATGAACGCAAACTTTCCGATTCTGACAGAAATTAATTGATGTCTTTCCAACCGACTGAGTGGGAATTTTCAGTGAAAAATCTTTCATAATAAAGTTGGCTATCGTAATAACCGTATCAGTGGGTTAACTATTTACTCATTTAGCCTACTGAGAAAGAATTTTCAGCGAAAAATCTTTCTTTATAAAGTTGGCTATCGTAATAACCGTAACAGTGGGTTAACTATTTACTCATTTAGCCGACTGAGTAAGAATTTTCAACGAAAAATCTTTCATAATAAAGTTGGCTATCGTAATAACCGTATTAGTGGGTTAACTATTTACTCATTTAGCCTACTGAGTAAGAATTTTCAACGAAAAATCTTTCATAATAAAGTTGGCTATCGTAATAACCGTATCAGTGGGTTAACTATTTACTCATTTAGCCTACTGAGTAAGAATTTTCAAAGAAAAATCTTTTATAATAAAGTTGGCTATCGTAATAAGTAATAACCATATCAAAGGGTTAACTATTTGCTTATTTAGTTATAGTTATTAAGTTACTTTTCGAGTTATTCGGTCGTTTTTGGTATAAAATTAGCAACTGATGCTAATCAACCGGATCAGTTTTTCTGCAGCTCATTGCCGTCCTCGAGTTTCGAATCACTAATCACTGGGCAAGCTTCGCAAACCATGGAAAAATAAACTCAGTAATTTTAATTTAATAATAAGCCAATACTGATATAACGTAATAACGTTAGACAGATTCAATAGTGTGGATAGAATAAGTGAGTAAATTAAAGCATATTACGAGGCGCCTGTGTAATATAAACAACAAAATTTTTTAGTCACACGGTGTTCACGAAAGCGTGATTCCTACAAGTGGTGATTAGATCAAACTGCCGTCTGAGATGGTCTGAAGTTTATGAAATAAGTGTAGGGTGTAGGCCATCACAATAATTATCGAAACGGGTTCCCTGTTAACGTCTTTTTTTAATTTCGACGGCTGCATCCTAAACATGAGCAAGACATTAAATAGCTTTATTGTTTTTGGGTGATTGAAAAATTTTATGAAGCATTGAATTTTTCTAATACTCATATCTATATAATGTAACTTATTTTCCATATATAATTCAAGTTTGTCTTATCTTGCCTAAAAATAGGTATATTAATTAATCCAATTGGTTATTGGTGAAAATATATTCCATTAATCAATAGAAAGCGTTGTGCAATCCTTCACCCTCCTCTATCGTTACAATCTGAAATAATATATGAAATGAACCTCCCATCTTTAATATTCGTTTAGGTTCTCTTACCTATGTCCAGCATGTTGTACATTAGCACATTAAACCATGCAAGATGAACTTAGGCATTCATACGGACATGCGTTGTCTGCATGTTAGTTCTAACTAACCTCGCAACAGGTCATGTAGTCATTCTGTTCAAGCCCCAAATTATCAACGATTGAAAACTATTTCGCTTGAATACTTGAGTTCAACAGGTAAGGATTCTCCTCCTGGATTTATTCATTTAAGACTCTGACATGGGTACTTGGACGGCTTGATTTGAACGGCCGCTTCAACTCCTCCCTCCTCAAACATGAGTTCATTTGCATGTGCCGAAAAATATACCGGAACATTGGCGGCTGAATTTAACTTCAAGCCCGTCGTGAAATTCGTTATGAATAGCTTGGCGACGAGATGCTGAAAACTTTATTCCGGAATGTTTGTTTTTGTTAATTTTATAGATTGTTGGGCATCCGGAATTGTAGTTTTTCATAATCTCCTTTAAAATTTTTTACAGATTGTTGGGTATCCGGAATTGCAGTTTTTCATAATCTCCTAAAAACATTTTTACAGATTAATAGCTTTCCGTAAATATAGTCATGCAGAATATACGAGAAAGTTTATTATTCACTATCGGGTATTAATCGACATATTTTCAATGAAAGTATGTTAAATTTGCCTAGCATTTTTTTCTTTCGGATTCTTATTTAATTTGCTATTAAAGCAAACCTATGATATAAATACTTCTAAATATTTAATAATTTTATACATTCACATTTTTAAAAGTTTCGTGAATTTAAATTTTAGATTTTTTTCAATACGGTTCTCGTCTAAATATAGTATATTAAATTTTATCGAATATGCAATTATTGCGCGCGTTTACTATAGAAGGGCTCTGTCATTTTTTTCTTGGACGGCTTGATTTGAACGGCCGCTTCAGCTCCTCCCTCCTCAAACACGAGTTCATTTGCATGTGCCGAAAAATATACCGGAACACTGGCGGCTGAATTTAACTTCAAGTCCGTCGTTAAATTCGTTATGAATAGATTGGCGACGAGATGATAAAAACTTTATTCCGGAATGTTCGTTTTTGTTAATTTTATAGATTGTTGGGCATCCGGAATTGTAGTTTTTCATAATCTCCCTTAAAATTTTTTACAGATTGTAGGAATTGTAGTTTTTCATAATCTCCCTTAGAATTTTTTACAGATTGTTGGGTATCCGGAATTGCAGTTTTTCATAATCTCCTAAAAACATTTTTACAGATTATTAGCCCTCCGTAAATATAGTCATGAAGAATATACGAGAAAGTTTGTTATTCATTATCGGGCATTAATCGACATATTTTCAACGAAAGTATGTTCAATTTGCCTAACATATCTTTCCTTTAAATTCTTTGTTAATTTGCTATTAAAGCAAACCTACGATATGAATACTTCTAAATATTTAAGAATTTTATACATTCACATTTTTAAAAGTTTCGTGAATTTAATTTTTAGATTTTTTTCAATACGGTTTTCGTCAAAATATAAATTATTAAATTTTATCGAAGTATGCAATTGTTGTGCGCGTTTACTATAGAAGGGCTCTGTCATTTTTTTTAACTCTAATCTAGTGTTTTTTACCGGCAGTTAATAAAGAAAAGAGTAATTACTAATACCATAGAATAAAAACTTAACTAGAATACAAAACTCAAAATTGGCTTCTGACAATTTTGAGCTGCCATCTAAACATTTTCGATGTAAGTATTTCATTCTTAATGCAGGATTATCTCAATCTCTATTGTGGACTCCAGTCCCAAATAAAAAATTTAGCAGTCAAAAATTTACTCCAATCTCATAAATTTTGAAAGTGCGTCGTTGAGGACAATTTCTTCGTATCGGAAGACCATTTCAATTTGTACTTCATTTTTGGGCAATATTTTGTTATGTGGCTAAAGATGATCCGCGTCTCATGTCAAGATGATCTCCAATTTGGATCGTCAAAGTTTTACATGGTCGTTAAATTGAACAGCTCGGGTATAGGTCAGAAAACGAGCAAAAACTTTGCACTGTAATTACAACCTCATTACTAGGAATATGCAAATCCAAGGTCGTTGTTCTGTTGAGAGCTGTCAGGCCGCCAGCTATAATATCTTGACGAATAACTATCACTAGGAACAATGGCAACCGTTTTTTGACTGGTCGAGATGAGAATTAGATCGAGTTTTTCTAATATAATAATTGAAATATAATATTAATATATAATCATATGATATGAATGTAAAATTGAATATGAATATACGATGTACTTAGTGTATGAATATAAATACTTTTTGTTTGTTTGTTTTACACAGAAACGTCAACAACTTATCGAGATGTTATTTGTTACGTGATTGAAAATGAGATA